AAGGAATCTACACTTGCTACAATCAAGTTGATGAATCAAGATTTAGTTCATTTGGACAGATTTGATGGATCCAACTTCACAAGATGGTAGGATAAACTCAATTTCTTATTAACGGCATTAAAGATCTTCACGTGTTTGATCTAAACTTGGAGCCAATCCTTGATGCAACAGAAAATGATATTGAAGACATTGGTGCCGAAATAAAGAAAAGAGAAGAAGACAAATTGATATGTCGCAGTTACATTCTAAATGCCCTTTCGGACCGGCTATATGATCTATACACAAATACTACTTCAGTGAAGGAAATCTGGAATGCACTTGAAAATAAATATAAGGCCAAAGAAAAAAGGTACAAAGACGTTTTTAATGTCTAAATATTTTGATTTAAAAATGCTTGATAGTATCCCTTTGTTACCTCAAGTACATGAATTGCAAATAATTGTCAACAAATTAAAAGTGGTGGAAGTTGAACTTCTCGAATCCTTGCAGGTGGGAGCAATTATTATTAAACTCCCAAGGTCTTGAAAATGATATAGGAAGAAGATTCTTCACAATTACGAAGACTTCTCTTGGAAGAATCCAAAAGTATCTTCACATAGAAGAAGAGTCAAGGGTAAGAGATAAGACTGAAAGTTGTTATTATTGATCTTCAAAAGCTAATCCTATGGGCTATGTGAACAACTCCTATAAATACAAAATAAAAAGGAAACCTCTTGGTCCTAAAAAGGATCGAGGAAAGTTCAAAAACAAATCTAAGGGACCTTGCTATGTTTGTGAAAAATTGGGACACTATGAAAGATAGATATTGCAGGAGTAGGAAACAACAAAAGAAATAAGGGCAAGTAAATTTCATTGATGATATTATTGCTACGGTGAGCGAAATCAATGTAATTTAAGGGAAAGTTCTGGGCAGGTGGTATGAAACCTGTGCTACAATCCATGTTTGTTATGATAAGTCTCTTTTCAAAACTTATCACGACATTGAAGACGGTCAATAAATCCAAATGGAAAATGAAGGAAGATCTAAATTGATTGGCAAAGGCAATGTAGAAATCATTTTCACTTTGAGAAAGAAGATCACTTTCACTAATTTCCTTCATGTACCAGAAATGAATATAAACTTAGCAAGTGAAGTTCTATTTTGAAAACCTCGAGCTAATCAATTTTTGAATCTGGAAAAACTTGTACTAACCCATAATGGACACTTTGTTGGAAAGGGCTATTTCATTAAAGGAATTGTGAAATTATGTATTCTTGAGGATAATTCTAATAAAAATAAATCATTTACCTATGTTGTTGATTCTTATAATTTATGGCATGATAGATTAGCACATATAGGAATTAACACTATGAAAAGAATGGTTAAATGTGGATTGATAATGTGATATTGATAACTTAGAAAACATGAAACATGTATTAAATAAAAAATGATTAAAAAGTCATTTCATAGTGTAGTAAGATAAACAAACATATTTGAACATATTCATTCTGATATATGTGAATTGAATGACATGCTAACAAGAGGTGATAATAGATATATTATTATTTTCATTGATGATTGCTCTAGATATACTTATGTATATTTGTTAAAGCATGAGGATGAAGCCTTTAGTGTCTTTAAGACTTATAAGTGCGAAGTAGAAAATCAATTAGGAAGAAAACTAAAAACTCTAAGAAGTGATAGAGGTGAAAAATATTTCTCTAATGAATTCAATACTTTTTGTGAACAAAATGAAATAATACATCAATATTTTTCACCACGAATGCGGAACAAAAATGGTTAGAAAGAATAAGACATTCTTAGAGATGATAATTGCCATGTTATTGAATTCTGAATTACCTTTTAATCTATGGGATGAAGCCTTACTTAGTGCTTCCCAAATAGGATTCATATGAAAAAGAATAAGATCTCCTCATATGAAATATGGAAAGGTAGGAAACCAAATATTAATTATTTCAAAGTGTGGGGGTGCATTGCTTATTATAATGGATCCTAAGAAAACTAAATTAGGTCATAGAGGTATCAAATGTACTTTTATGGGATATACTCTTAATAGCAAGACTTAATAGGTTATTAAACCTTTAATCGGATGTTATTATAGAATCAAGGGACGTGGAATTCTTTGAGAATGTATTTGTAGCAAGAAAATCTCAAAATAATGAAGTTATTCCTAATTCTGGATAGCTACAAGAAGAGATTCTACTAGAAATGTTGAAAGTGAACCTCGAAGAAGTAAGAGCATTTGAAAAGAGAAAAGTTTAGGATCGGATGAAATAGATTCTCAACTTACTATTATTTTATTTTTTTTACTTAGTAGAGGGAGATGAGAAGGAGATTGTAAGAACAATACGTTTTGTTTTTCAAGTGTAAAGTGATCTTAAAACCTATAAGGAAGCAATGTCGTCTAGAAATTATATATTCTGGAAAGAGGCAACAAATAATGAAATGGATTTTAGTATTTTGAATAATACTTGGAATATAGTTGATTTACCGGAGGGTTCTAATGCTATTGGTTGCAATTGGATATTTAGAAAAAAGTATAATTCCGATGGAACACTTAATACCTACAAAGCTAGATTAGTAAATAAAGAGTATTATCAAAATGAAGGAATAGATTATTTTGACACATATGTACCCCTGGCTAGGATCCTGTTTGCACTAGTATTAATTTATGATTTACATGTTCATCAAATGGATATCAAGACAGAATTCCTAAATGAAGATCTCGAATAGGAGATCTATATAAAACGACCAGAAGGATTTGTTCAGCCAGGAAATGAACATAATGTGTGCAAACTAATCAAATCCTTCTACGGACTAAAAAAAGCTCCTAAAAAGTGGCATGAGAAATTTGACTCTAAAATAATGTCAATTGGATTTAATCATAATTCGATAGACAAGTGTCTTTATACTAAAGGAAAATTACTTTAATATTTCTATATGTTGATGATATGTTGATCATCAGTAACAATATAAACGGGATCAAAGAAATGAAGAGGTTTCTATCCGCCACGTTCAAAATGAAAGATGTTGGACAAATGGATACTATCTTTGATATCAAAGTTAAAAAGCATAGTGGGGGTTTTACATTGAACCAATCACATTATATTGAAAATGAAATATATAAGTTCAAACACTTGAACGTCAACAAGGCTAATACCTCGTTGGATCCAAGTATTAAGCTGATAAAAAAACGATAAAAGAACAATAGATCAAATAGAATATGCAAATGTAATGGGAAGTCTTATGTAGGCAGCACAATGTAAAGACCTGATGTAGCATTTGCTGTAAGTAAACTAAGTAGGTTTACTAACAATCCAAGTCCCGAACATTGGAAGGCTATCAGAAGATTTTTGGTTACTTAAAGAAAACCAAAAACCTTGGAATACAATATACAAAGTTCCCTAAAATCTTGGAAGGATATACTACGCCAACTGGATATCAAGTACGAGAGAAAATAAGTCCACTTCATGTTGGGTATTTACTCTTGGAAGGGGTGCAGTGTCTTGGAAGTCTAAGAAAACAAATATGCATTACTCATTCAACAATGGAGTCAGAGTTTGTAACATTTGCCGAAATAGGAAAAGAAGTTGAATGGCTAAGAGACCCGTCAAATGAAATTCCTTTAGATATAAAGAATATTTCTTCAATACCTATCTTGTATAATAGTCAAGCTACTCTAGCTTGAGCATATAATGAAGTATATAATGGAAAGTCTAAGCACGTGAGTCTAAGACACGAGTATGTAAGGAAATTAATCAAAAATGGAATAATTTCTCTTATACATGTTATGTCAAGTGAGAACTTAGCTGATCCATTCACTAAACCTCTCACGAGAGAGTTAGTAAGATTGACATCAAGTACGATGGGGTTGAAACTCCTTAAATAGATCGATCAATGATATTGACCCGGTGAATGGCGACCGTAATTATAACAGTCCTAAAGTAGCGAAATTCCTTGTCGGGTAAGTTCCAACCCTACCAAAAGTATACTGAACAAGTATATTTAGGCTCAAGGGGTGATAAACAAATCATTCGATAAGTGGATAGAATTCAACACTATTAAATTATTAAACCCTATCTTTGGTAAATAGTGTTGGTTGTTACTGTAGAATGGATGTGTTACAATAATAATAATTTTAATGAAGTTTAGTACGGGGTGCAAGTATCTCTAAAAGTAACAACGATATTGAAAGAACTTCATCTATGTGAACTTTAAGGTAGTGCCGCCTCATTAGAGAGTTGGAGTTTGTCCTCTTTAAAAATTCAATGAAAAAAAAGATAAGTGTAAGGTCATATTAGCACTAAGCGAGTTAGATGAACTTTTGAAAAGTTTAACACTAGTGCGTGTGATTTCATCAGCACTGTTATAAGGAATGACTGGTTCAAAGCTTCCTAGCTACTTGAGATTTCGATAATGCTTATGAGATTTACACTATGGTTAGATTCAAATCGAAAGATATCTAATCTTTATGCAAGCATTGATATTTGATTACGTGATTTACATTAATTTTGAACAAATGGGAAATTGTTGTTGAAAATCAAAGAGAATAAAATTGAGATTGAAGTGGATGAAGTAGGAAAAATCGAGCCATAATGATGGCTTATGCAACTGCATAAGCCTTTGAGGTTTGCAGTTGCGTTTGCAATCGCATATGGATTTTCAGATAAACGAAGGGCGCCAAAAGCTATAACTATGCGGCTGCATAGTTATAGGCTATGCGGTAACTATGTGGTCTCATAGTTATTGTTGGCTGGAATTTTTTCAAATTTCAGATGATTTTCTTGGTGAAACCATGCACCTATTCATTTGAGTTGAAAACTACATCCACCGCACGTTTGTCGGGGACAAAATTATATGAGCAATTACTTGAATGAGGAAACCACCATGATAAAAATAGTGCTTGTTTGGCATTGTTTTTATGTGCTTATAAGCAATAAATCCTAAGGAATAATAAGTATTAAGTAGTGATATCTACCAAATGTATCGATTAATAGGCTTGAAAATGAAACATCCCATTAAATTTTCATATAAACAGGAATTATAAGAAACAAGGGACAAGAAACAATAACAACTTATATGAATAGCTAGTGACCTCAATCCGCTACAAAAACTTCAATGATCATCACTATTATAAATTAAATCCAAAGGTGAATGAAGATATTAACATAGCCAAGCAATAAAAAAATATTTAGAAAGGATGAGGTGTGTCTTTTGAACTTCAAGAGGGATTGTGAGGCTACTTTTCTTCGTCGGTTTCTTGCTTCTTCAACAAAGACTTATCGGTTTGGACGCTGCTATCGTAGCCACTACTGTCACCTGGTTCCATGATGTGTTTCTCTACCCTCTCCTTGAGGCTGTCACGATGTGATCGACCATGTTCTCTTCCAGCTCTGCGGTCCTGTAATCAGTTCGATTGGACAAAAAAGTTTCATGGACCTCACCAGCTAAGAGATGACGATATGCAGGACAAAATTTAACATTTCGATATCAGATCATATGTTCATTGGAAAGCTATGGTTGATTCAATAATATAATTGGGGTCCATATGCATCAACCTTCTTGACTACCTTATTAAGACATGACTGGAAAGAGCACATGGATCATTATCAACTTGCAGTCGTCTAATCAAAACATTCCAACTCACATTTTCCAAAGATAAAAAGGACGAGGAATTGATTCATTTAATTCACTCTCCCTGTTTTTCATTCTTTAGATGCACAAGAATAGGGAGAACTTCAAACAGAAGAACACATTTGTAATGTACTTGATACCGACTAAATACACAGCTTTGATGTCATAAGAGTTGCAACTCATTAATACTGAAGTATGAACAAGTTAAGACTAATTTATGAACAGGTTTATAAGAAGCGGAAAGTTTAACAAGCCAGAATGCAGGATAAGAATACATGAAGGTGAAGATACAAATGCACAATGTCACATGCAGGCAGCTGTTTCCAGCAAGAAGATAGGATGCACGTTAAATTCCATAACTTTACTAAATAGAGGATTTTTAACTTACATCACGGAAAGGGAAATCGTCACTCTCAAGCATATGTATCACATGCCCCATCTTTGGTCTCTTCTGGGAGTTTGGGTCTACACAGCGTAAAGCTATTAACAGAGCACGCTTCAATGCCCTTGAAGAAGGCTTCTCAGCTAACTTGGGGTCCAAAACTCCCTCTGCATTCCGGTTCGAAACCATTATTTTAAGCCAATCGACTAGATTCACCTGAGAATTTTAGCTTGTTTTAAAATAAGAAAGACCTTATAAAACTTGGAAGAAATTTAAGTATTGATACTACACAAACCAAAAAAAAAAAAAAAGGGGCAGCAATCAAGATTACTGCATACATACCTCCCCTGGGGGACGGCTGTAATCCACTGGGTTCCTCCCAGTAATGGTTTCCATTATAAGAATCCCAAAGCTATAAACGTCACTTCTCTCATTCAACATGCCAGTGCTAGCATACTCTGGCGCCACATAACTATAAAACAGAGAAGAAAATCTAGTAATCATTATCATTTGGTTCATTCTAGAAATAAAAGCCACAAAATATGCCCATAGATTTGATTTACCCAAATGTACCCATAACACGAGTGGTAATATAACTCCTCTCCGATCCCAAGAGCTTTGCCAGGCCAAAGTCAGATACTTTAGAGTTCCATTGTTTGTCCAATAAAATGTTGCTTGATTTAATATCACGGTGAACGACCTTAGGTTCAAGCCCTTCGTGCAAATAGGTCAGTCTAGGAAATTCACCAAGTTATAGTTATACCAACTAAACAATAAATAACAAATACAAATTTATTGAGACAAGCACAAGATTTAATAGCTATGAAGATTTTCCTTACCCCTTCGCAGTTCCAAGTATGATTTTCATTCGTATATCCCACGTGAGAGGACTATACGACCCTACATCTCCATGAAGCCACTGTTCTAAGTTACCATTGTCTACATACTCATACACAAGCATCCTGAAAATATACCATCCAAGATTCAAAAATCTATGGGAAACAAGCCTAATTAAGGCCAATTACAGAAACAAAACAACCGGAATTGTACAAAATATGAATTGATCTTCAAGATCAAACAAAAACAAGCAAAATTTCAATGTTAGACTCACCTATGTTCTCCTTCAGCACAATAGCCGAGCAATCTCACCAAATTCTTATGCCTAACACGTCCAATTGCTTCAACTTCAACCTTAAACTCTCTCTCTGCTTGACCCCTGAACAAAATAAACAGAGTTGAACATACAAACAACAAAATAACATCGTCCCACAGTACTCTAAAGCCTAAACAATCAATCCAGTTGTCCATATGCAGTTCAAGAAAATACATTACAGTCAACCTAGTCATCTAAACTCTGAAGTATGCCAATTATAATCATAGTTCACCCATGATCATAGTAAATATATCTCAATCCATGTAATACACATGCAATGAAAACTAAGCAAATATTGAGTATTTGAAGTAAAATACCTGTTATTGAGCAAATTCTTGACAGCAACTCGAGTGTTATCCTCCATGAGACCATGGTAAACAATTCCATACCCACCTTCACCAACCACATTGTCATCAGCAAACCCATCGGTGGCCTCTTCAAGCTCCCTCAGAGTGTACCAATGACCCCATCCCAAATGCGACACCTCCGGAGCAGCCATTCCTCCCCCAGCCTCCACAAGGGGCCGAGCCTCCCCACTCCCATGGCCCGATCCAGAGCGCGGCCCTACCTTTTCCGGGTAGGCAATCCGATGCCCCTTGCGAATCTCAACATGGATTCTCTGGTCCTCAACTGTGTCGGGTTCAGGAAGCGGCAAGGGTTCCAGAGTAGGAACTAGCAGCTTGGGGTCGGTTTCCGGGTTCCGGGTAGGTTCCACGCGAATTTCTTGGATTTCTCTGGAAACTTTTGGGATATTGGAATTTTTATGGGTCAATAGCAACGTTTTCTTGTTGCTATTGCGCCTTGAGGTGATCCACAGAGATATGAGAAAGAGAAAAATGACAATTACAGCACCAACACAGATTCCAACAACAACCCACAAACGTAAACCGAAAATTGAGGTATGTTTTGATAATTCATCGTTTAAAAACGGTGACTTACCATCAGACATAATTTCTCACTTTTTGGTTCTTTTTCTTTTTTTTCTTCAACTGACAAGAAAGCCTCAAGTTTTCCACATTTGACTTTAAGCCCAGTAGTGTGAAAACCAGAATATCAGTGTGAAGCAGAAGATGATAGTGATGCGAAGAAAGTGGAGGTGGGGTTTGGCGTAGGCTGTCACGATGGGACTTTAATGAAATTGAGACAGGTCCCACTACTGGTGTTTTATTAAAATCTAAGACACTTGCATGTTTTCATTTTGTCAGAATTTGTTTACGGATTCAACTCAAATACACATTTCTGTACTATTGATTCATGGGATATTTTTAAAATGTCCAATTTTATGTGTATCAATTTAAAAATGTTCACTTTTTAAATTTAGTATTAAATTGTCTAATATATCTTTAATGAAAAAAATGAAGCAATTAATATTTTTTTTCAATTTGTCATGGATTTCGACAAATAACTTCCATGAAAAGTTATATTAAAATGATGTTCTCAACATTTCATATGTTCTTGTTATTTGAACCCCGTTTTACATTTCAAAAATATATATGTTAAATCACAACATTAAATGTTCTCGACATTTCAAATATTTTTCTTGACATATTAGATATTTAGAATGATATTTCATTTCGAACATGACATTTCTCTACACTTGAAATGTAGTTCTAGTCATTCTTGTGTCAATGAGAAAAATAGAATTTATTAAAATTTGACATGTACACTTATGAAATAACTAGGTCAGGTTATGAGTCAAAATTTTATTGGCCAATAAAATTTATAATTGCAAAAATGTTCAATTTTTTTTTTTTTGTGGAATCATAAATTGTTAACAAGGATATTTTGATTTAAATTATTTCAAAATGGACATTTTTACCGAGATTTGAAAGTGGAGATTTATAGTAATTTTATCTCAATTCATTAATATATACTATAGTTTTTGTGGCTTAGCTGGTATGATTACTTTCTTGGATTCTTTGGTTAGACATGGATTAATGATGATTACTTCTGCCGGCTGGTTGGTGAATTCTTCTACTGGTAGTATTTCCCTTCCCTTTTTTTTTTCTTTTTTTTAAGGATGCATTTAATTGCAAGAATGAAATTTGAAAGGAAAGAAAACGAATTTTGAGGAATTGAATTGTCTAAAAATTATTTTAATGAGAATTGTCAATTAAATGCGTTTTATTAGTATAATTTTTCATCTAAAAATTGTTGAAGTTTTCTATCTTTTAATGTTCGTTTGGCTTTATTTTTCATAAAAATTGTCAATTAAAGGAATAAAATTTTTTACAATTGTAGATAGAATTTATTCCAATTATCAAAAAAAGATTAAAAATTGGAAAACAATTTTCCACCAAAACCAAAGTAACTGATTTTTCACCAAATCAAGGAAAAAGGGGTCATGTGGTGAGGGGGAGGGAAGATCAATTTCAGAAAAAATTCTTGCAATCAAACAAAATAAAATGTGGAAACTGGCTTGTATCAGACAGACCCTTACATATAATTGAATTAATGGTGGGATTGTTTCATTATTTATGATAAATTGGATGTTATTGATGAAAGAATCATGTGAAGACGTGATGAAATCAGTTTATTTATAATAGGACAAACCTTCGTGAATTTTCGATCCTTATATTTAGGGTTGATCATTTCTATAGTCAATGTTGTGTACCTCATGATTGTTTTGATGATGCAGTGGGCTACAACTAGAGTATAGGTGAAGCATGAAGTATTTATAATAGGATAATATTACACGTGTATCAAGATATTCATATCGATGTCCGCTCTCTCACATGAAGGGAGCGAACGTTGCATTATATATAATTAACATATTCATTTATAATATGTTTGATATTTCAATACATGTGTAGCGATGATTGTTATGACAATGACAACAGCAAAAACAGTGGCATCACTTTACGAGGGGTGGATGCATTGTTATGAGATTTAATCTCGACATTGATTTGGTCAAAGCACTAAGTCTTTGAATTTATGGTTGTATTGGTAGGTCACTGATTGCATTGGTGGATAAATGTTTGTAAAATATATAATTTTTTAAAATATAAATAATTGTTTTTAAGACAAATGAAAAGTTTTAAATTGTTTATCATTAATTTTACATCATTGTTTATATATATATATATATATATATAGGCTCAATTTTGAGATTTTTTTTGATAACCAAAATGCTATTAAAATATTTCTTTAAAACTTTTTAAATTAAATTTATTTGTATTTGTACTTGAATGTAATATTTTTATAAGTGTAAATTAAAAGGGATTTGAATGCAATTTAAAATATAGCAACAAATTAGATGACTTTCTTGGAATTGTATATATATTACGATTGCACAATTGTGTAAAGATATTGATCTTGAGGCAGTGGCTTGCTGGATCGTATTTTATGCAGGCGGTCGGGTTTCAATTGAAACGCTGATTTGATCGATCCGCTATCCGCTCACCAACTATGGATCGAATCAGTTGGTTGTCGCCCATTTTTTTTTTTTATTAAATTCATTGATCTGGATCAATTTTAATAACATGGGTGGATAAGAGATGATAATGAGTTTCATTTTTTTTTTTATTATTAAAATTAATGGTAACAGTGTGGTGAATGTTTTAACTCTCAAATAATTTGGCACATAATCTACAAATGTCATTTTGGCATTAGAGTGTTAAACGATTTTGGGTAAAGATATGGCCCTGGTGGGGCGCCTATTTTGACAGGCCCCCCCCACCTATAGGGGGCGCCATTTAGGTCCCATGGGCCTTGGACGTATAGCACGTCCCAATGATTTTATCTCTCAAATAATATGACAAGTAATCTACAAATGTCATTTCACCATAAGATGCATTGTTTTTAGTTAAGTCTCCCATTGACAAAGTTTATAAGTAATTTATAAATGATCAAATTTCATTTTCAATCACACATTCTAATGAATCTACAAGTATTATTCACGTATTTGCAATTTATTTCTATCCATTTATAAATTATATCGTTTATAAATTCCCCAAAGGGATGCTAAAAAATTAACTTTGCCAATGTCCTAAAATATTGGAAATTTTATGCTCTACATTTGAAGGTAGGGACAATCTCGAATGTTGGGTTTGCAATCCAAAATCATTTGGGGTATGCATGTTTTAGTGTATTGGGCCTTGAAGACGTGTAAGTAGGGTCCATGGAGAAAAATGGGATTGATAGAGCTAGCCCACCGCCAGTTGGATGCTTGAGTAGTGAGATAGAATTTTCAGTAGAGGAATTGTTGCCCCTACCACTCCCCTAGAGCTTGAGCGCCGCAATTGACCATGTTTTCCTTGCTTTGTTTATTTCACGTGATTTTTGATCTAGTTTCCATTTTCAGGTTATTATTAGAATTTGGTTAAAATTGTTAGAATATGGTTTTATATCGTTATTGCTATAAGTTAGAATATGGTTTTACCTCATTATTGAAGTTAAAATTATTTAGGAACACGATATTGTTTTAATTTCTCTGTCCATTAGAGTTGAATAAAATCTTTAATTCCTTTGTCAAATTAAACTCTCTTTTTTTGTTCTTATTTTTATGGTCAATAATTCATATCATGCCATATAATCTTGTTCTTCGATTCCTAACAAGTGGTAGGAGAGAATACATAATCCTTGTTCAATTTCTCACAAGTGATATAAGAGTTGTGGTTTGATTTGCTGGCAGCTTTTTTTTCTTGATAACAACCATGAAATATGACATTCCATTTTTGGATCGCAGAACTAGATTCTCGTTGTGGCAGGTGAAGATGTGAGCATTACTTACTCATATGAATTTGGATGATGCATTGTTAGGATTCAACAATAACTTGAATAATGGAGGAGAAACAACTGAAGGATCGGAAGGCATTTTCACAAATTCATCTTTATCTTTCAAATAATATCATCGGGATATTTTGAAGGAGAAAACGATAGTTGCGTTGTGGTTGAAGTTGGAGCAATTGTACATCACTGAGAATCTGACAAACAAATTACTTCTAAAGCAAATATTGTATTCTTATCGCATGATAGAAGGCGAATTGTTGGAAGATCACCTGGCTATTTTTAAGGAGATCATTGTTGATTTAAGACTTTAGAGGTAAAGTATAATGAATAAGATTTGTCCTTAATTCTTTTGTGTTCATTGCCCACTTTGTTTATATCATTTGGAGAAGTATCTTGTATACTCGTGATATTCTTATCATTAAATATGTGTATGATGCTTTGTTTCAGAGGAGAAAATGAAGCATTCGATTGGATATGGGGCTAGAGAAGGATAAGACATTGTTATTCATGGTGGTCATGGAGGGGCAAGTTGAAATCTAATTTAAGTAATCAAATTTATTTTTATTACAAGATGAAAGGACACATCAAGAGGAATTGAAACAAGTTGTAAAACAAAGGAAAGTTGGCTACAAATCAAAAGGGAAGGTAATCAGAAACTTTATGTGAAGCTAATGTCGCAGAGAACTATTTGAGTGATGAAGATGTCTTAGCTATTTTTAATGGCTACTCCAATCCTAGGGTTCTGGATTTAGCTTGTGCTTTTTATATATGTCCCAATCAGAGTTTGTTCGCAACATATGAAATAGTTTTGATATGTGTCATGGTAACGAGAAACAATGCACCTTGTTTGGTAGTTGATATTGGTAGAGTCGGACTTAAACTGTTGGATGGGACAATTAGAACACTTGATCAGCTTCAACATGTTCCATATTAGAAGAAAATTATCATGTCTTTGACTATTTTTTATTCGAAAGGGTATAGGTTCATTGGTGGGAGTAGAGGCGGATGTAGAGCATTAAAGGTTTGCGAAGATGTCTGGATTGAATTAGAGGGGCAAAAAAAGTCCCAGTTATACGTCTTGCAAGCTCTTGTAGTGTTGTTGAAATACAATCAATAAATGTTTAATACCGTGGTGAATATTTAGTTTGGTACAATATCATTCAGATTTGGTTTGGGACAATGTTGAAGAATACAGCTCAGTCAAATTCAGAAGATATGGGTAATATCGCTTTGCAACATCACTTATGGTGCTATCATATTCAATTGCTAGGTATAGACCCACTGGATAAAGATACAAAAAAAAAAAAAAAAATGATTATGTTGCACATGCTTTAAGTGTAATTGAAGGTGTTCAGTCTAAGGGTCATTCTAC